CATTAAATTCCAGTGAAATATATTTATGTTTGTGGTTGTAATGTGACAAAATATGGAAAAGTTCAAGGGGTATGAATACTTTTGCAAACCACTGTATCTGTGATTGATTATTGAATTCTTCCTATTTTAGACCACTCAGCAGTTTTATTTGATATCACTATTTCTTCTTCTCAGGCCCGTAGTAATGCCAACACACCTTAGGTCTTCTTGCTGTATATGTCCTGATGTACTGTTCAAAATTAATTCCGKCTACATGATGTGTTAGACCCTATTTTTTCATAGGACCTTTGTGTGGATTCGTTGACCTTGGATTTAAACAACGCACTTTTTAAACTATTGGACTCTGTTGCCCCCGTAAAGGCCTTCAAAGCCCCCAAAAAGAATCCTAGGCCCTGGCTCAGTGAGGACCTCAGGAACTTAAAGAGAAACTGCAGAAAAGCTGAGCGTCATTGGTGACATTTTAGACTAGAAGTATTTCTGCAGGCTTGGAAAGACATTTTATTTTCCTTTCAATCATCAATGTCTTCAGCTAAAGCAACTTATTTCTCTGATTTAATCTCAAACAATAAGTCCAACCCAAAACTGTTATTTAATACTGTGTCTCAACTCACTGAGAACAAATGAACTACTTGTAGCTCAAATCTGACAGTTAGTGACCTTTTAATATTTTTCAGTGACAGAGCTGAAATAATAAGAAACAGGATCAATCAATCCTCTGATTGCTCATTCGACTTCTCTGCGTTGCTGCCTACTACAACTGCACAAGGGTTCTCTCAGTTTGAGATTGTCTCTCTGTCTGGACTAACCAATGTTGTTTATGTAGCTCAAAGTACAAACTGCTCCTTGGACATATTGCCTGCCTGGGCTATTAAGGAACTTTGGTTAGTCCTAGGTCCTTACATCTTTTCTACTGGTGTTTTCCCTGCCTGTTTTAAAGCAGCGATTGTAACACCAATCTTGAAGAAGCCKGAACTGGATGTTGACCTGGCTGCTAACTATAGACCCATCTCCCAACTATCATTCCTGCCTAAAGTTTTTGAAAAAAATTGTTTCTCAGCATCTTATTGCTTACCTGTCAACAAATAACTTCTTTGAATTATTTCAGTCTGCTTTTAGAACTAACCACTCTACTGAAACAGCTCTCACCAAAGTGGTCAATGATTTATTGGCAAATGCTGACATTGATAGTCCCTCAGCACTATTGCTGCTTGACCTTAGTGCTGCATTTGACACAGTAGACCACTGCAATTGACGCAGTAGACCACTGCATTTGACACAGTAGACCACTGCATTTTGTTGGACAGACTTGAACTTTCAATTGGATTCAATGAAAAAGTACTCTCATGGTTGAGATCATATCTGTCTGGAAGATCACAGAGGGTTAGTTTTAAAAATGAGCTCTCTGAGATAAATAATGTGGGCTATGTGGTCCCACAAGGGTCTATGCTTGGCCCCCTGCTATTCTCTCTCTACCTTCTGCCTCTTGGTCTTCTTTTGTGTCATTTTAATGTGGCCTTTCTTTGTTACGCTGATGATTTGCAACTTTATATGCCTTTTTCACTTGGAACCTGCACCGATCTATCCAACCTTACAACCTGCTTAACCACTATTAGGGGTTGGCTAYCAACTAATTTCTTACTCCTTAATGCTGATAAGACAGATTTTATGGTTGTTGGACCTTCAAAGCTTCACCACTTGTTCCAAAATCTTAGTTTAAATACTGATGGTCATAACATCAGATGCAGGGAAAAGGTCAAGAACTTGGGTGTGCTGTTTGACCCTACACTCTCCTTTGAATCTCATCTAAAGGAGGTAACAAAGATTGCTTTTTATCATCTCAGGAATATTGCAAAAATCAGACACACACTCTCATTTGAAAATGCAGAGGTCCTCATCCACGCTTTTGTGTCAGCACGTATTGATTACTGCAATGCTCTTCCCTCTGGACTTCCAAAGAGAAGATGGCTCAGAATGCAGCTGCTCGTATCCTAACTAAAACAAGGAAATAGGATCATATCACTCCGATGCTGTCATCTCTCCACTGGCTGCCCTGCAATGTTCGTGCAGATATCAAAGTGCTGCTTCTCACCTATAAGGCCTTACATGGCCTAGCGCCTCCCTACCTTTCAGACCTTCTCCACCCTCACATTACATCTCCTGCTCTCCTATCTCAGGGCACTGGTCTGTTGGTAATCCCTAAGGTCAGACGCAAAACTATCGGAGGTCATGCTTTTTTCTTTCGTGCACCTTTATTGTGGAATGATCTCCCTCAAGACATCAGGCTGGTCTGCTCAGTGGAAGTTTTTAAAGCTAAAGACCCACCTTTGCACTTTGTCTTGTGCCTTAAATTTTACATTATTTTATCTTTTTCCCCCAATGTTTTACTTGCATTTACAACTTCTTTTAGATTGATTTTTACCTTTTTAAACTTGTTCAGCACTTTGTTGAAAACGCTTTATAAATAAAGTTATTATTACTATTATTTTTCCTGTATAAACTAGAGATGCAAGTCATCAATTAATGAATTAATCTGAAGTTGATTTAACTTATAGATTGACTAACAATTAATTGATAAGCAGCCATTTTCTTTAAAACCAGAGTTTTCTCTTGAATTAAGAGGGTCTTTTCATAACATGAAGGATTTTTTTTTTATAATTGCTGAATAAAAAACAGAAGCACATCATAAATATTTTAACAATTTATTTTGCCAGCTGTATTAAATACTGACTGAAAAAAAGTGTATTTCTCCTACATGAATAAACTTGGTTATAGCTATAAAACATAACAGAAATTTAACAGGCTGCTAAATGAGGAAAACAGAAGAAAATAATAAAATATGATTTTTAGATGTAAAACCTTAATAATTTATTATTATAATTAGAATTTATAATTTTTCTCTGATTCTTTACTTTTTGCTGCCTTCTTTTTGGTTCTGTCTGTCTGAAATGGTGATCTATGGCCCAGTATGCGGTTCTGAAGCACAACAAATCGATAATGAAATTTGTTGCCAAAGCTTTAATAATCGTTTTTTATCTAATTGTTGTTGCAGCCCTAGTAATGATGGAAACTACTAACGTGTTAAAACGACACAGATTGTGTCTAATTGCACATGGGCTCCTCTCCTGTCTGCTCTCACCTCCCTGGCTGCTGGTGGGAACGTTCATGGTGGCCAGGATGCTCTGCAGGTCCCTCAGCTGGATGGGCTGCGTGGGGTTGGCCGCCGCCGCCAGGGAGGGCGCCGCAGGGGTGGAGGGGGTGGTGGCCGTGGGGGAGGCAGGCAGGGGAGTGATGGGAGTGGTGGGAACTTGGGAGGAGCCGAGGCGGCTGGTGGCGGAGGTGGAGGTGGGCGTGACGGCGGTGGACGGGCTGAGAGGAGAGAGAGAACAGGAAGTGTGTTACTGACCACAGCGTGTTCAGAGTGTGTTCAGAGCATCTACATCCTGTAAGACTCAAAGTAATTCAGGATTTAAATAAATATATATTCCTCTTCTTCTTTCAGCTGTTCCCTCGCCACAGTGAGTCATCCTCACTCTAACTCCCTCCATGTCCTCCAACTGCACCCATACGTTCACTGCAGACAAATCAGATTTTTTCATGACCGTCTGAACATGACTGATCCAATTTTGTTCCAAATCCCACTCAGGTCTGTTCAGTATGTGGAAAATCAGATTTATATTTGATGTTTTTCAAAGTCACCTCAGCCACTCCAGTGTAACCTCGAGTCATGCAATTTAAATCTTGGATAGACGGTAGAAAAGATATGAAGTTGGCCTACGGTAGAGATTTACCCTCTACCGTCCTGTAGTCAGTTACATCATCGCACCTGTGTCAACAGGGCTGTGAGCGCAGAGACAACTGAGCAGGAGGAGTGTGAAATATTCTGAAAATAAATGAAGAATTATAGCATTTTAAAACACRTATAGAAAGAATAAATCCTCTAAATTTCCCCCTCCCRCTGTAGATTAGTTACATCGGTCCATCGTGTCGCGGGATCATTTCCTCCCTCCCTCCTGCTGCACGTCGCGCAGAGCGAAGCTTTAACAACCGTAGTTTTTTCACACCCAAGTTGTCGGAGAAAAAACGTTTTTTTTTATGTATTGTTACCCAGAGATGATAAAGAYGTGGACGTTCATTCAGCAGGGGCGGATCTACAGGGGGGCAAGGGGGGCAACTGCCTCCCCGTTATAGAACCTTGCCCCCCCAGCAGCAGCCCTACTTTTATGTTTCTAAAATATTTGTAATTACTAACTGTTTGTTAGTCCAAAATCCCATTACAAATATTAAAATAAATATTTATTTACCAAAAATATATAATTTTAAATATAATCTGAGGCCCCTGAAAACCTTAGCTACAGCCCTGCATCAAACACCGCCTGCTGCTCCGCAGGCGGAACATGTGAAACATTGACGAGGTGGTCTGTCTGCTGCAGAGTGGAGTCACTGAGCTTCCAACTTTCTGCAGTTAAATTAAGTTTCTCTAGATGATGTTTTAACACACTACAGTAAAGTTAAGTTTGCAGTGAATGAAATATCTGCTAAAGTGTCCAATGTTTATGGTGTAACGATGACAATGACTTAGCGTTAGCTTATTTTCATGGTTAGTTTTGTTTACAATAAGCACGGTAACAGTAAATGAACAGTTTAGATATAAAAATAAGGGTTCAGGTTTGCTTTTTAGGGGCTGCAGTTTCACTGATGCCTCTATTTGATATCATGGCAATCATGAGGCACAATTAAACCACATTACATTTGTATTGTCAGATCAAGAAAGTGAATAAGCTGCTATGGTAATGATATGATAATCTATGATAATAATGGGCTAATTAAAAAAAATCTCAATGCTTGCACATTGCAGACCAAAACAAAAAATAAATTTTAAAGTAGAGATATTGACAGTTATTAATTGATTTATTTTATTTTTTTTGCAAAAAGCAAGGGATGAGAAGGAAGAGACTGAGAGTTGAGAAAGGAAGACAGAGAGACCAGGAGGGTCACAGGTGAAGAAGCCCACTGAAAGTGCAACAGGTGAAAATGAGGAAAGTGACGCCAGCATAAATGGTGAAGAAGAGAAGATTTCAGAGTCAGAGAGAGAGAAAGAAGACAGGGCAGAGGAAACTGAAGGAGAGAAGGAAGCACAGAGTCAGAGAATCCAGCCTATATTCCAGCTGGACCACATGGTATGTAGTACAAATATATTAGATGTTTCAATGAATAACACATTATCTGTACAAGTCTATAGGTTTGTTATGGAATTAGACATTCCAGACTTAATAAATATAGTCAATTCATGTTCTAATTTTAGTTAACTAAAATAAAAATAAGTATGTGTGTGTATCAGTGGTCTGCCATCAGGGCCAGCAAAGCCTTCTTTGCTGGCCTAAACACAATCAGAATCACTTCATTATAGAATATTTTATATTTATTATAATAATTATTAATATTATTATTAGGATGTAATTATTTTTGAAACATCTGTTCTCTTCATTTCATAGTTTTTCTCCTGGCTGCGCAGCTTCCAGCAGCTTGTATTTATTTAGAGCTTTTATCTAATCATATTTTGATCTTCATCTGTTGCCAGGGTCCACAAATCTGCCTCAGGCCTTGGACACGTAACTGGCCTATTTTCTTATGAACTTGGCATGGCAAAAGGTAAACAGGAAGTGACATCAAAGGTGAACTCCTTTAAGAAAAATAACTCACTGGCTTTGTTTATTGAAACAATAATATTAATATTTGAACGCTGACTTTTTTTTTTTTGTTTCTGTCTGAGAGCGACTCAAACTAATCTGAAGAAACATCAGATTCCTCTCTGCAGTCTGGGCTGTTGAGCATTTTAACATAGCTCTGTTTGCAGACATTCCCCTTTGACATCACTTCCTGTTACTTCACATGCAAATATCTCAACAACTTTTCATCTCAGCAGCATGAAATTTATTTTGTCATATGTTCTCGGTGTTATCTTTCCAAAAATGCATTTGTGTTATTACATAAGTTTTGATGTCACAGACACTTTAAGATGCTGATACTCCTCACTGAGCTGGTGTGAATGTGATTTATTCAGACTCACGTTTCACACCTGACTAATGTTCGCTGTGTTCCTCCTCTCCACACCTGTGACACGTGCCCCGCTCTGCTCAGCAGCTGAATCTACAGTGCTCACCTGGTGGAGGAGTTGTTGACAGCAGGAACACTGCTGCTGCTGCTGCTGCTGCTGCTCCCCAACAGGTTGGCCAAACCAGGCCCAGCCAGAGCCCCCAGACCACCTGAGAGTCAGAGGGGCATCATTAATCTGACCTGAGGACAATCTGCCTTTGTGTGTTTTGATCCTGTTTGGATTTACGTACCGATCCCTCCCAGTCCAGTTGGCCCAATGAGCTGCATGAGCTGGTTGTGACTCATRTTACCCAGAAGGCTCTGCAGACCCCCCTCACCTTCACAGGTGGGCAGGAAGAGATGAGAGCTCAGATATTTAACAGGTTTCTTATGACAGAAATGTGAGCGTAAGCTACCTCCCAGCGCAGACAGGTCGTGTCCTCCACTGCCGCCGCTGCCGAGCGTGCCGGGCATGGGCGGGTTGTTCAGGTACTCGTTCACTTTACGGCAGAACTCATCGTCCTTATCGCTTTTTGGTTCCTGAGGTCAGAAAGCAAAACATTGTTTCAAGTTTAATTCATCATCAGTCTGTAAAATAAAGACTGTAAAAATACTATTAATACTACTGCTGTTTAGTTAAGCAAATTTGTGAAGATATATTTTAACACGGACGGAGCCATTTTATTTACACACAAAGCAGTCTGGGTAAATGATGACGTGCGAGACCCTTAGAGGGCTGCGCTTACACTCATAGAATCTGGAGTTACAATACGCAACCAACGGTCATCAGTGTGAGCGAGCTATATCCATCCTGAAGGTTAATCTTGGACAAAATCTGATGATCGACTCTTTTAAATGAAACCAGAGCGTTGACAGAGAGGAGAAGGTAGAAATGACTCAGCCTGTAACTGAAAATATGGATGGAGGACAACAGCTTGTTAGTTTGTCACGCTAGCGCTGAGCTAATAAGTCAATATAGCATTGGCGCTAAAGCTAACAGGCTAAGCTGAGGTTCTTCTTTCATGAAGCAGCTCTGTTGTCCTCCATCTATATTATCAGTTACAGACTGAGTCATTTCTACCTTCTCCTCTCTGTCAACGCTCTGGTTTCATTTAAAAGAGCCAATTGTCAGATATTGTTCAAGATTAACCTTCAGGGTGGATATAGCTCACTCACACTGAGGACCGTTGGTTACGTATTGTAACCCCAGATTCTATGAGTGTAAGCGCAGCCCTCTAAGGC